ACACACACACACACACACACACACACACACACACACACACACACACACACATTTATGCAAACATGCACAGGTGTATTCACAACAAATGCAGAAAAAATATTCAAGAAAGTCACATAATAAACAAATGCAATGGGTGAAAAGACCTCAGAGCCCTTCGTCACCCCAGGAAAGGGCTGACAAGTAACTATACAAACATGTCCTCATTTTAATAGATTTTTTTTTTTAAATGGGGAGGATTTCACAGTGTAGCCCTGGTGGCCTGGAACTCTCTATGACAATCAGGCTACTCAAGCTCTACCTATTTCTGCCTCACAAGGGTAAGGCATGTGGGGTCAGGCATAAGAATGGTAAGGTTGAATGAGCTCAAACCCCGGGATTCTCAGAACTGATAGTGACAGGAGTGGAGCTATCCCCTGCCTGCCTCTACCTGCTCTGGAACATGGAACCATGACACCCCACTGAGGACCATGGGCATGGGGCATCACCAGCATCAACACCTGGAGTTCTCCGTGCTAGGGGAGTATCTAGATAGCCCCCATACACCCATGCTAAGGAGGTATCTAGATAGCTCCCATATACCCATGCTAAGCGGGTATCTAGATAGCCCCCATACACCCATGCTAAGGAGGTATCTAGATAGCTCCCATATACCCATGCTAAGCGGGTATCTAGATAGCCTCCATACACCCATGCTAAGGAGGTATCTAGATAGCCCCCATACACCCCGCAGAGGTCAATGAGCTGCTCTTCCTGGGCATTCCTTCCCACAAAAGGTATTTAATCCCTAGTTAACCCCGAATACAGTGTATACATTCACATCCACTATTGAGTAAACCAGTAGGAACAAGCCGATCGATCGATGCAAGGAAGGGTTTCACCTTAAAGAGCCACACCTAGAACTCCCCAGGAAGGTCTTCTCTCCTCTAGCCCCTCCATAATCTTGGCACTCACTCCGAATCACACAGGGTTCCACCCACCCCTGGTACAGCATTCCCCCTCTCTGCCTGACACGCAAATGCCCAAAGGGAAAGGTGGCCCTGTAGACCCTGATCCCTCTCTCAGCGCTTGGCACTATACTGACGGTGCTAGGGTACCCAGAGAGGAGATGGAAACCACTGTGGACTCCCCACTTTGGACTTTGCCCTGCCTTCTCCGGGAGGCCTTCAGGCTGTGGTCCAGGCACCCCCAGAGAAGCAAGGCTCGGTACGACACTCAAGTGCTTTGATTAAAGGCATGTACCACCTCCCTTGGCATTTTAAATAAATTATTAAGGTATACACAGATTATTTTATTGTGATTCCCAATTATATTAAGACTTTGAACAAGAAATTAATTAAATGCACACTTGCATTTGATAAGAATTTTATTATACAGATGAGTCTTATAAAAAATTTAAGCAAACTTTATTTTCAAGTATGTACCCTTTGCTAAACTGTCTTACATTTCTTTTTTTATTGGCATATTTCTTGACTTATCTATTTACTGGCTTGAAGACTCTAAGGCTTTCTCAACCAAAAAACTACAAACAGTGAAGGAGGAGAGAGAAGTCAACACTAAATTAACACATTTTTATTTTGCTAAATTAACTTAGCTTTGTTTAAAAATAAACAATTTTAATTCTCTTCTCCCTAACCTTTCAAATTGAGGACACTGCAATGCGTGCAAGCGCTCCAGCTGCTTTATGTCAATGTTCAGAGTTAGGATGAAGGTGGACTGGGCCTCCTAACAACCGAGTGTGAGGAACAAAGTAAGAGATCTTCAACACATGTAACACACGTGGCATGAACAACAGAGACAAGAAAACAAAACAAATAAAATGAGGAGGAAGAAGAGGGGGAAGAGGAAGACAAGGAGGTGGAAGAAGAAGAAAAGGAGGAAGAGGAGGAGGAAAATTAACACCATGGGGGAGAGGCTCCCAATTTTAGGTTGGATGACCAAGGACAGTTGCATTCTGTAAGCAACACTTAGATAACTTCTGGGAGAATGCAAAAGGGCTGAGCCTTGCAGCTACTACGAGGACAGCAAAACCCCACAAGAGAAGAAACCAGGGGAAAGCCTTGCAGAGGGACTTTGGTCCACGCTCACACTCAGGAGAAACTCGGGGAACCAGAGCAGAGAGAACAGAGGTCATAAAAGAGCCGAGAGTAAGACGCCGCCATGCTCTGAGGACCATTCTTAGCCCTTCCACTTACTGTGGATGGAACAGGTTCTGATTAGAAAGTGTCATGTTCTTAACTCATTTTTAACAGGATCATTTTAATTGTTTGCTGAACAGGTAAGACTACCAGAAAGGGAGCAAAGACTGAGGCAGGAGGACAGGAGGCCCCAGCAGAGAGTACAGGGGACAGGGTAGCAGAAGTGGAGATGAAGACAACAAATTTTGAGTACACCTGGAGGCAAAGCTCACAGCACTGGCTGAGAGACGAGACTGGAGTCTGGAGGAAGCAGCTCCAGGTCACTGCAGTAAGGACATCTGTCTAAGGGCCAATCTGAGGCCAGTATTAGGCCAAGGAAAAGATCAACATTCAAAATCTAAAGTATGTTTTTTTGTAGGAGGGAGGGAGGGAGGGAGGGAGGGAGCGAGGGATCGCACTAGCAAAGCCACAAAACTGAAATGAAACATAAAAAATTAAAGGGGGT